AACAAGGTAAGATAACATTATAAATTTATCCATTAGAGCCCCTCTTTGTATGTTTCTGTGTATATCTCCACTCATTTCCATTTTGTTATCTCTTAGTATTTAGGTATTATTATTATAATTTTGGTACCCAGGGGTGCTTTGTCACTGAGCTACATTTTCAGCCCTTTTTACTTTTTTTTTTTTTTTTGAGACAGGGTCTTTCCAAATTGCTGAGGCTGGCCTCAAGCTTGCAGTCTTCCTTCCTCAACCTCCCAAGTTGCTGGGACATACCACCATGTTCAACTCCAGCTTCTTGTTTTAACCTTATCTAACCTGCATCCAATTCCATTTTGGACTATTCTGAAACCAAATGAAAGATATTTTGGTCTATATTTAATCATTCTTTTTTTAATATTTATTTTTTAGGTTTTTTTAGGTGGACACAATATCTTTATTTTGCATTTACGTAGTGCTGAGAATCGAACCCAGTACCTCACACATGCTAGGTGAGCGTGCTAACACTTGAGCCACATCCCCAGCTCTATATTTAATCGTTCGTAAGCAGGGAAACATAGCACTCTGTAAGTATCATATGAAATTCAATCCATTCAGGCATGGTAGTACACACCTGCAATCCCAGTAACTAGGAAGGCTGAGGCAAGGAGGATCACAAATTTGAGGCCAGCCTCAGCAATTTAGCTAGGCCCTAAGAAACTCAGTAAGACCCTGTCTCAAAATAAAAAATAAAAAGGACTGGGGATGTGTCTTAATGATTAAACACTCCTGGGTTTAATCCCCAATACAAAAAAAAAAAAAAAGAAAGAAAAGAAAAAAAGAAGAAGAAAGAAATCCAATCCAGTCATCTTATCCTATTTCAGGACCTATTTTTTTTTTTTTTTTTTTGGTATTAGGGATTAAACTCAGGGGTATTTAACCACTAAGCCATATCCCCAGCCCTTTTATTTTTGTTTTAAGACAGGGTCTTGCCGGGCGAAGTGGTGCATACTTGTAATCCCAGTGGCTCGGGAGGCTGAGGCAGGAGGATCGAAAGAGTTCAAAGCCAGACTCAGCAAAAGCGAGGTGCTAAACAACTCAGTAAAACTCCATCTCTAAATAAAATACAAAATAGGGCTGGGGATGCATCAGTAGTCAAGTCCCTGTGAGTTCAAACCAAAAATAAATAAATAAATAAATAAAATAAAGACAGGGTCTTGCTGAAGCTGGCCTCAAATTTACAATCTTCCTGCCTCAGCTCTCCTATTCGCTGGGATTACAGACATGTGCCATAGCACCTGGCTAGGACTGATATTCTTTCTGGCACTAGAATTTACTTTGAAGGAAGTGTGAAGTCATAGCTTAGATGTAGAGCTTAGCATATGCAAGAACCCGGTTTAATCCCCAGCAACCCAAAACATTACTCTGAAGGGCCTCAGATCTAGTCCACACAAAATGGACTAAATCATGGCAATCTTGTCACAGTAAAATATAGAATTTTGCTAAGCACAGTGACATACACTTATAATCCCAGCAACTGGAGGGACTGAGGTAGGAGTATCACAAATTCAAAATCAATTTAGTGCAACCCAGTCTTAAAATAAAGAGCTAGGTCTGTAATTTGGTGGTAGAGTGTGCGTTTAGTGTGAAGCTTTAGGTTTAATATCTAGCATTACAAAAATGAACAACAACAACAAAAGGCTTCAAAATAAAATAAAAAGGAATGATAGAGCATCCTTGGGTTAAATTCCCAGTACCAGGAAAAAAAATATATGGGATTTTGATCAGATAYCAAAAGACCAGGTACAAGATTTGCCAGAACTGCCTCTTGCAAATTATATAACTTTAAGTCACTTAGCCTCTCTGAGCCTTTGGATTATTATTTATTTTTGATACCAGGGAGTGAACCCTGGGGTACTCTACATCCCCAGCCCCTTTTTTACTTTTTATTTTGAAACAGGGTCTTGCTTAATTGCCCAGGCCAATCTTGAATTTGTGATCCTCCAGCCTCTGCCACCCAAGTAACTAGTAGTAACTGGGATTACAGGCTTGTGCTACCATGCCCAGCTCTGAACTAACTATAAAAGGGGTACTTCATGGGATTTTGGTTAGATTAAATAAAAGAAGAGTCTATGAAATTTTGTGAACTGAAAAGTACCACATAAATTAGGTATTGAGTTCTTTAGTTAAGTTAAAGATGACTCAAATTTTGAGCCTGTGAATTAGAAAAACAGTGATGCTTTTGACAGAGAAGGGGAAAGTAATAAACTAATAAGCCTTAGTTCCATTTATATATAAATTACACACACACACACACACACACACACGAATGCACGCGTGTGTGTGTGTGTGTGTGTGTGTGTGTTTACTGGGGATTGAATGGGGGGGGCACTTTACCACACCCAGCCACATCCCAGCTCTTTTTGATATTTTTATTTAGAGACAGGATCTCATTAAGTTGCTAGGGCCTTGCTAAATTGAGGCTGGCTTTGAATTTGCAATCCTCCTACCTCAGCCTCCCAAACTGCTGCAATTACCGTTATGAGCTACTGTTCCTGGCTATCTATCATATATACTAAAAATACACTTATTATGTTAATACCTGAAAACAATTATAACCTCCTTACCTTTAATTAAACTAAATTTTCATTTTTCTCTGGCTTCTTCCTATCTTTATACAGGTACATTAAAAAATATTTAAGTATATATTATGTGCTAGCACTGTGCTAGGCACTGGGAATCCAAAAGATTATAGTCTACCCCCAAGATGCTCAGGGTTGTAGCTCATTGGTAAAGTGCCCCTTGGTTCAATCCTCAGTACAAAAAAAAAAAAAAAAGGTGTGGGGCTGGGGTTGAGGCTCAGTAGTAAAGTGCTCATCTAGCATGTGCAAGGGCCTGGGTTTGATCCTTAGCGCCACATATAAATAAATAAAATAAAGGTATTGTGTTCAACTACAACTAAAAAATAAATATATAAAAATTATAAGAATTAATTTAGGCTGTGACTATAGTGTTGTTGGCACAGTAATCACAGGTGTGATTTTTGTTCTATTTTTAGAATACATGTGTTTGGAGTCACCAGAGAGGTGATCCCTAGAATATTCATGATGATTATGAACCTGCCAGAGAAGCTATAGAGAAGTGAAGGACTGAGCATCTATACTTAAGTGACTGGAGACAAAAATGCTATGGAAAGATACTCAGAGGCTGGGGATGTAGTTCAGTGGTAGATTGTTTGCCCGGCATACAGGAGGCCCTGGGTTGGATTGCCAGCACTGCACAACAAAACAAAACACACCGAGAAGGTATATTTGGAAAGATAGAAAAAAAGTTTAGTGTCACAGGAACTTAAAAAAAAAAAAAAGTCTTTCCAGAAAGGAGATTTTCTAAGCACACAAGGCCAGGTCAAAGAGAATGATAATTTTTATGGAGATTACTGACAACCTTCAAAAGCCTAGCTTTACTTAAAGCAAGGATAGAAGCCAGATCAAGAAGGTGGGCAAAAAGTAGGTGATGAGGAAATGGTAAATCTAGCTGTGAAAAGGAGCTAGAAAATCAAGTGGAAAATTTTCTCCCCATCCACGGAAAGATCTGCTCACACGTTAAGACTATGGAGGTAGAGGCCCAGGGAGAGAGTGAATAATAGTGGAAAACTCTTACGTGATGCTTAATATGTGCCAGGCATTATTCCAAGCACTTTTCATGTATTAGCTTGTTTAATACAGTTACTTCTACCTAGGAAGTGAGTGCTATTATTATTGTCAAGATGAAGCAAAGAATGATTTAAGTTACTAGTCCAAGTCATCCAGCTAGTCAACTGACTAAACCAGGACTTGAACTCAGTAGTCAGCATCAATGTTATTGGTATTTAAATTGCACCTGAGATTAATACAATATGAAAGCATCTTTGTGGATTCACAAAAAGGCACTATACCCTGACATTTCCCTTTAATTTACCCTATAATGGACATCACCTATCTTCCTACAGTCTAAAATGTGTTGAACCTGGAAGGATGCCAGTGGCCAAAGAAGTTTCATTGGCAGAGGGATATAAGTTATGATTTGGTTCTCTGGCCTCTTCCCCTTTCTGGGCATGCTTTCTTGTTTGTCCAATTCAGGGATGTTTATTACCAATAATCGCACACCAATGACCTGATGATTTTCACAACTCAGTCATTCAACAAATATTTGAACATCCACTTAGGGCCAGGCATTGTGCAAAACAGATAAGAAACCTGGTTTCTTAAAATTTAAGTTCCAGTGGGGGTTGAGGGAGGAGACAGTTAGGAGGGCATAGCTGGAGGTGCGTAAGCAAGGGTGAATGGGAGGAAATTAACTGAGGGAAGCAGGCAGAATCCGGAGCAGGCGAAGCCTTCAGGCCACTCCCGAGGCGTTTGTATTTTACTTGCAGCGATTCAGAGCCTATAATGGACAAGTTATACCAGGCTGTAGACTCGTGAATGCAATCTTCGCTTTCCCCATCCCCCATTTGTGCCAGCTGGGTCACCTAACCACCCAGGGTCCCTTAGACTATTAAACCACCTAGAGCACGCTCCATTCAGTAATCTATGGGTCAGCTCGCTCCCGGGGTCATCTCCTCTGTGAGCAATCTCGGCCCTTTAGGGCCTGTCCGCCCTTGAATGTCCCTTTGGCCACTCGGTCGGCCAGGTCACCTCAGTGCCACGCCTCCCTGGCCCGCGATTCAGCGAGCACGTTACGCTTTGTTCCCAGAAGCAGGTTTTCGGAACGCCGCTCCCTCTCAGCTCCAACTATTTTCCTGCCAACGCTGGAAGACTCCTCTGCGGCAGCGCCCCCGGCGGCGCACCGAGGCCCAGGAAGGGAGTGCCCGCGGTCAACGCCTCCTTAAGCCTCCTCCCGGAACGCGGGAGCGGGTGCTAGAAGCCCACGCCCCGGCCACCGCAACCCTGTTGCTGATTGGTTATGACGAGCGACGTCACGGGGAGGGCCCCGACGGCCGCTGGGAGCCGGGGTCCCGCGCGTGCGCAGACAGAGTGCGCTGAGACGAGGGGGAGGTGGCCGGCTGCTTCTCCCGCGTCCGCCATTTTGTTGCTGTGGCTCTTGGGAACAGGCTGGGCAAAGCCGTCCCGGAGGCGCCACGCTCCCTGGAGTCCGGTGCTTCGTGGTCGGCGGGTGTCAGTGCAGACCCGTACGGCTGCGGAGCCGGAGCTTTCCAGGTCGCGATCCACTGGAACCACCCCCGGTACGTCAGACAGCCCAAGAACCCCAGGGCGGCCTCGGCTGCGGCTCGACTTCGCCCACCCCGACCGGGGGCTCTGCCCTGCATTCCCTGGGCCGGCTCTTTCAGTGAGGCGGTCCCGGAGCAGGCGGGCGGCGGCAGAGGATGCTGCGAGCCCGGAGCCGAGAGGCAGGTGCTGGCCCGGCCCTCTAAGCTTGCCTAGAGGTGTGCCGAGAGGTCCCTTTCTCGGCCCCAAAGCCGTCTGTCGGGCAAAGGCTTCCAGAACAGGCGAGAGCAGCCGCCGCCCCGACTCGCCACAGAACCCCGGCCGGGCACCATGTCCTCCGCCAGGTTCGACTCCTCAGATCGCTCTGCTTGGTACATGGGACCGGTGTCTCGCCAGGAGGCGCAGACCCGGCTCCAGGGCCAGCGCCACGGCATGTTCCTAGTCCGCGACTCCTCCACCTGCCCCGGGGACTATGTGCTGTCTGTATCCGAGAACTCGCGCGTCTCCCACTACATCATCAACTCTTTGCCTAATCGCCGTTTTAAAATCGGGGACCAGGAGTTTGACCATTTGCCGGCATTGCTGGAGTTCTACAAGATCCACTACCTGGACACCACCACCCTAATCGAGCCAGCGCCCAGGTACGCGAGCGCTTGGGGTTCCCGGGCGTGCAACCGGCCCGACTGCTGAGGAGGGTCGAGAATGGGCTCTGTTGAAAAGAGAGTGTATATAAGGGGCGGGGGTGAATCGATTCTGAACCTGAAGGCGTTTCGAACGAACAGCTCATCTTAGGGTCTGGGTCAGTGGATGAACGGATGCTTTTTAAACACATTTAACAGTGATTGCATAGTCCCATGAATACCTTTTTTTTTTTTTTTTTTAAATAACCCTGTTTTGGCTCGTAGACTTCTTTAAAAAAAGATTGCCGCTGCAAGCCTTCTCCCCATCTCCCCGAAAATTCTTATACATACGTTTTGCACACCATTCAGTATTCTTGAACCCCCAACAGAACTCACAACTACAAAGTTAAGAAATGGACTACAGCCTTTCAAACAATTGCTTTATTGTTCAAGAATAATAATAATAATATCTTTATCTGAAGTATCAGAACTATTTATTGATGTTCTGATGCCAGGTTTGAAGCAGGCCAGACGACCTCTTTTACTATACACTTAGAAACGAAAACGTGCATTGGTTTCAGCAATGACATTTTTAGGAAAATTTGTATTTCCTCCCCAGAGGTGAACCATTACTAGGCTAAACATCATTTTGGTTAATTACCAAGATGGAGTGGCACTTATTCTTTTACTAGTTCAATTTCATAAATACTTCCTGTATTGAGTCTAACAGTTTAACAACTATTTTAAAGCTAAGAAAGAAGTGAGAATGATACTGACCATCAGGCTTTCTTTTTTCAAAGTGAAATACGTTATTTTATTTGATTATTTGCTTCAATGGGTATCTTATCAACGAATTCTTTTATTTATACCAAATGTCAGTTGAAAAATTACCTAGAAATTTTTTAAAATTAATTTCTATGGTGCTGGGGATCAAATTCATGGCATGGCACATGCTAAGAAAGTGTTTTACCACTGAGATATGTCACCATCCTAGAATTTTAAAATAAAAGGTATTTTCCTGCTCAGTGTCTTTCTTAAAACCTCTAATTAAAAAGGATCAATATAGATTTTTTTTAGGGTGAGATTCACAAACAAGGTATTATTCTTAACTTTAACATTAAAAATTATTATAATTAAGAGCACCTATTGTTTATTTGGGAAAGAACTAAAGAAGCAAGCCATGACTGTATTATAGACTTCAAGATTAACTACTGATCAAAATAGACTTAAAGAAAGGGGGGGGAGTGATTGTAAGTCAAATTCTGTATAATAAAGACTAGGACACCAAGAATCTGACTGGTGAAACTTGGTTTTAACAGCTGCTGGTAGGTGCTATCAACTTTGAGCACAGTGTAATTCCTGTATGAGGGATTAGACCCTCTGTAATGAGATTGGTAGTATATTTAAGAAAGTTACTTCCTCTAATTTGTTAAAGTGAATTACGTAATTAATTTCAAGTCTTTATTAAGCCATGCTGTGTGCAAGGCATGTGCTTACATTGAGGTGACAGATCCTAAATATTGCTGTTTCAAAAACTGAAGTAATGGCTTGATCCTCTTATAGAAGGAGGAAAAGGAATATGCTGCAGTAGCATCCCACTACCCACAAAATCCAAAATTATCCATAAACATGTCTTCTCAGATATCAGATATAATTTTCTTTGTCTCTTTTCTTCTTCAGTGAAGCTCTACAAGGCTGCCTACCCATTCCCTCTTAGTTTTCCTTACCTACTTATACCTTTTTTGTACCTTTGCTAGGATACTCCTCATTGCCTCATTCCCCTTTACTTTAGTGTCCTCACAAATAATAGGGTTTTTCCCTGATCCTCCTCTTCAAATTCAGCTTTGTTTCTCCTCTATTCTGTGCTTTCTGCCCCAGACATATTGCTGTTTTTCATTTTCACTGATAACGCTGAAGATGGTCACAATTCTGATTGAATTGGACCCTATTTGAATTTACTTTGTCGTACTGAATTATTGACATGCTACTCCTACGTCTGAAATTCAGGAATAGATTTAACATTTAGTATAAAGCTAGTGGTTAGTATATAAAGCTAGCCTTAGTATAAAGCTAGTGGTTAAGCTGGGCAAGGTGGTATACACTCATGGCTGAGGTGGGAGGGTAGCTTGAGCCCAGATGTTTTGAGATTAGCTGGGGCAACATAACCTTGCAAGATGCCCTATCTCCCTCTCCCTTTTTAATTTTTTTTTCTTAGTATTTGGGGGTGGAACCCAGGGTTGATGTACCACCGAGCTACATCACCAACCCATTTGATTAATTTTTTTATACTGATCTCACTAAGTGGCTCAGGCTGGCCTGCAACTTGGAATACTCTGCCTCTGAATAGCTGGAATTACAGGTGTACACCACCATGCCCAGAGAGACTGTCTCAAAAAAATAAAATTAAAATAAAGCTAGTGGTTAGTAGAGCCTTGGCCAATAGAAAACTTAATGCAATGCTTCTTTATATCCCAAACAGGATAAATTAAGTAGTTTAACTTTTCAGGTATCAAAACTGAGCTTTTTTTTAATATTTATTTTTTAGTTGTAGTTGAATATAATACCTTTGTTTTATGTATTTATTTTATGTGGTGCTGAGGACCGAACCCTGGGATCTTGCACACTCTAGAGGAGTGCTCTACCACTGAGCCCCAGCTCCAACCCCCAAACCTAGGCTTTTTAAAGTCAGAGTTTTCTTGTCCCTTGGTTAATAGTTCATTTTTTAATTTTGTTTAGCTCAACTTCATAACTATAGCATCTTTGTCAGAAGCTAAAGACTCGTGCTTATATTGTTCTAGAGCAGAGGTGTTTCAGGAATGCTAGCCAGGAGCTCTGCCACTGGGGCTAGAACCCCAGCCCCAAGGTTCATCTTATTGTTTTTACATTTATCTACGGTATTCTTATTATATATTTTAAATTATTTAACTCCAACTTAATTGATTTTTGTATTATTGTATATTTTAAATTATTTAATCTCTGAAGAGTGTCATGTTGGATAGCTTTTGTTGTTTTTGAATGAATCTAAAATATTCTCATTGTGCACATTAGTGTGATTTTTATATGGTTAATCAATTAATAAACAGAAATCCTGTGGTGATTTTTTTTTTCCCTTCATTTTGGGCACACTTTTTTTAAGATTTTGTTTAGGGCCCCGCATGGTGCCATACCTCTGTAGTCCCTCTTGCTTGGTAGGCTAAGGCAGGAGGATAACTTGAGCCCAGGAGTTGGAGGCCAGCTTAGGTAACCTAGACCCTGTCTCAATAAAAAGGGTTATGTTTAAGTTGTAGTTGATATTCACCTAAGCTCTAGTTTTTTTTAATATGGTCTGTTTCCAATCAAACAATGTTTCAAAAGGTTTGCCTGGGTTTGAAATACATTTCCCCTGGTTTAAAAATTTGAAAGTGTATTTTGTTTTTTGTTTTTTGTTTTTTTTTAAATATTTTTGAAGTGTGTAGATGAGACTCTTTTTTTTTTAATATTTATTTATTTTTAGTTCTTGGCGGACACAACATCTTTGTTTGTTTGTGGTGCTGAGGATCGAACCCGGGCCGCTCGCATGTCAGGCGAGCGCGCTACTGCTTGAGCCACATCCCCAGCCCCTGAAAGTGTATTTTGTATAGCTTACTTTGCTTATAAAATTTTCCAGTTCTAAAGAATGAAGATAAATGCAAGCTAGGAAAAAAACAATCTTGACAAAAATTTACCATTAAAAACGGAATTTGGGCTGGGGCTGTAGCTCAGTGGTGTAGTGCCTGCCTCACTTTTGAGGCACTGGGTTCAATCCTCAGCACCACTTAGAAATTATTTGTAAATAAAGATATTGTGTCCATCTACAATAAAAAAAAAAAAACTGAGGGAATTTGATCCTTTATGAAAGTCATGTTTTGTTTTGTTTTTTTGTCACCGGGGATTGAATTCGGGACTCAACCACTGAGCCACATCACCAGTCCTATTTTGTATATTATTTAGAGACAGGGTCTCATTGAATTGCTTAGTTCCTTACTGTTGCTGAGGCTGGCTTTGAACTTATGATCCTCATGTGTAAAGTACCTGAAGCTATTTGGTTTGTGACTTTCTCTTGTTTAAGATTCAAATCCAGAGAATTTTTATGTAAAGGTTTTCAATTTTAAAGCAGGGCCTGATGGCTAACACCTGTAGTTTCAGTAMGTGGAAGACTGAAGCAGGAGGATCACTTTGAATATAGGAGTTGGAGACTAGCCTAGGCATAGACCCAGTCTCCAAAAAAATATAAATATATGTGTGTACATATATATACACACAAACATACACACATATATATGTAAATTTTTTAGTTGTAGATGGACACAGTACCTTTATTTATTTATGTGGTGCTGTGGATTGAACCCAGTGCCCCAGGCATGCAGGGCAAATGCCATACCACTGGGCCACAACCCCAGCCCATATATATATATATTTATTATTAACTTTGATCTGAACTATTGGACTAGAATATTTACAAGTATCCTTAAGACTAAAGTATTTTCGTTTGTCTGGTAAGTAAAGTTAGGGCCACCAGTCTAGTCAGCTTGCCTGGAATGATAGCTAAGCATGTGAGAATAGCATGCAAGAATAGGGAGGTGAAGAGGCTTGGAAAGTGTACCATGTGGCACACAATGTTTCTCCTTTTATGTTTAACAAACTAAAGTTAGGTATTTGGAGTGCCTGAGCTTTTGTAATCTCAGAAGAAAAGAGAGAGCCCAAAACTACACTCAAGGCATATGGGAATAAACCATGGTTTTTGTCTTTGAGAAGCTATGTCTATTGAAAAATTGAAATAGAATGCCATAGGAGGGAGGTCAGCTTTGCGTAAGGGGTCAGAAAAGACTTGAAAGAGGAGGTTGGAAAAGACTTGAAAGAGGAGGTACTCTTTCAACAAATTCTTAAAAGTGAGAACAAGTATATGAGGTGGAAGAGTCGTAACAGTGCCTGCTGGGAAAGGCATAAGAGTTGTAATTAATGTGAGTGATGGACGCTAGGCAGGAAAGATAAAGGTTAACTCA